GCTGGCCGGCCGAGGATGATGTTGTGGGCGCAGTCAATGTTGACGACGACGAACTCCACTTCGAGCTGGGCTCTATGGAGCCCGTCGCCGAAGATCACCGGGAGGGTTATTACCCCCTCGGAATCAATAGTATCGCCGGTGAAACCGGCAAGAGGGGTCTTAATGGGCCGAAGGGACCCCCTCTCCAGATGCAGCTCTCTGAAGGTGCTGAGGTACATTACATTGACGGAGCTACCCGTGTCGATGTAAGTTCGGTGAATAATGGTGTCGTTTATCTCGGTCCGAATCACCAAGGCATCCCTGTGAGGAGAAGAAGTAGGAGGGAGATCTGCGTTGGTGAAGGTGATGAGTTCCTTCCTCAGTCGCTTTACCGGGGGCATATGAGTGACTTCCCCCACGTAAAGCGATTGAGCCCACTTCTTTCGCTGGCTGGTGGAATCGCCCCCTGTATTGCCACCGGTGATCATGAGGATGTGGCGTTTTTTCTCCTGGTAGTGGGGGTATTCCTCCTCCTCTTCTTCCAAGTTTCCAATCTCCCTCTTCTTGCCGAGGGGGATGGTATTCGGGTTTACCCAAGCATTTACCTTCGTGTGGTGCCCTCAGGGAGGCCCCTGATGAGAAGGTCCCTCCTGCCGAGGGCTCTGAACAAATTGGGACAGGTGCCCTGCTTGTATTAACCTCTCGATGGCCGTCTTTAGCTGATGGCAGTCATCGGTCCTGTGCCCCTGGTGCCGATGGAAGCGACAGTAGGGGAACTGAGGGTTGATAGCGTGTACCTCCGGGGGTGCGCAAGAGTCGCGCACAACGAGGAGGCCCCTCTCCTCGGCAAAATCGAGGATGATGCTGACGGGGTGCGTCAATGGTGTCCGAGGGCGGTCCAGGAGAATGGGCTGTGCCCAAGTCTTAGGGTTGCTCTTATAACCTCCCACGGGCTTGGCTGGGCCTTGCCGAGGGCGGTCATCAGAGGGTCCCGAAGTCTTGGGGTGATTTGGAGGGGGCCCCGGCCCTCGGTTGTGCTTGTTGTCAGCCCTCGGGGGCTGCTGGTCCGGATGCTGGTGATACTTTTCCACCTCCTCGGCCTCAGCATATCGGTCCCCCCGCTGCAAAGCCCTTATGTAGTCGCGGGGGGGGGGGGGGGGGGGGTTCAATGATGAGGCTCCTTGAAAAGTTGCCGGTGCGGAGGACGGTTTGTAGGAGGGCCAGGAGGGTCCCGTCATCAGCACCGTCGACTTTGTCGGCTTCGGTCCTCCATCGCTCCAGGAAGTCCCGAAGGGTCTCATCCCTCTTCTGGCGTATGGTTAGGAGGTGGGAGAAGTGCTTCCTTGTGCGACGTCTCCCGGCAAATTGTGTCAAGAATCGCTGGGCGAGTTCTTGCCACGAATCAATGCAGCCCTCGGGCAGTCTGTTGAACCATTCGTATGCCGGTCCCTCTAAGGTGGAGAGGAACCAACGACACAAATATTCGTCCGACGCCCCCACCATCATCATGCTGTTCTGGTATTTGCTGTAATGCTCCTGGGGGTCCGTCTTCCCGTTGTAGGGCTGTATGTGCTGCCCTCGGTATTTTTCCAGGATCCGGGCCGTCAATACCCTTGGGGTAAATGGCGTCCGAGTCCGGAGCTGGATGACGGGTTCCCCGGAGCCCTCGGCCACCTTCTTATGTAATTCCTCCATTTTGGGCATCATGGCCTCGTACTTGAGATCTGAATGAGGGGTGGAGGTGGTGACGTGAGCTTTGTTGGACTCCATTTCGTCAAGCCGGAGTTGGAGGGCCGCAATAATCTCATCCCGGGGATCCTTCGGGAGGGTCTCTGCCCCCTGCGAACGAACCCGGGCCGAGTGGGCCAGGTTGATCTGGTGGCGAGCGTCATCGGCATGAAGGGGTGCCTTGCCTTTGTCCCGAGGGGGACGCTCCTCGTCTGCCCTCGAGACGGACCCCCCACTTTCCTGGGGCCTTTGGAGTGCCTTTCCCCCGAGGCGGTCTTGGACCCCTCGGCGGTCTAGCCCTCCTCTGAGCCGGTTGAAGGGGGAAGTGCGGGGCCTCTCCCTGTTGTCATTGTGGCGGTCCCGGGACTGTACTTCCTGGGAGGACGTATCCTGGGCCACTACCCCTTCGTCGTTCCTTACCCGAGGGGTGGGATTTCCGAAGGGGTGTGGCGGAGGGGGAAGTATGATGTTTTCCCCAACCTGGGGGTGAGCCGGAGCCAGGGTGCCGAAGGCACCCGGGTTCTGAGTGAGCGTTTGGATGAAGGCGGAGAGCGCCGATTGCACGTCGATGGTGAGAACCGGAGGGCTGACTTGGTCATCGCTCCGGTTTCTCTTCTTGGCCTCGATGCCGAGGCGGGCATCGGGGGCATTTTGTTGGATCTGAAGGCGTAGGTCGACAGCTGCCTGTTCCAGCCCAGCGATGACACCGCCCTCGGGAGCCCTGTGAGAGGCTTCGGGGGCGTTGACGTCGCTGAGGGCCAGGTTCTTGTCCTCTACGTTTTTTGAGTTGGCACGTGTTGTTCTCACCATTGTAGCTAGGTATTTTTTGTTTGGTCGAGGGGGAGGGTTTCTTACTTGATTGTTCGACCTCTCAACGAGAGCACCAAATGATGGATAGTCTACCCGGGGGTATATATCCGAAGGGTTATTGCGGGGAATAACTTAGAGAGAAGTCAGAGTAAGCAAGTAAATGTAGAGAGAGAGTGTATTCAGTATGAATGTCGTGGTTACAAATGGGGAAATGGGGTGCTATTTATAGTAGCAATAAATGCCGGACAGGGACACGTGTCAAGCGCTCATTGGCCGAGGGGTCACCTCAACTGGTTGGCGCTGGCAGCCGCATGTGGCCGCATTTAATGCGGCTGTTGGATGGGACGTCTGTGCAGGGTACGGTGATCTGTACGCATGTGAGGCGGATATCTTGTCGAGTGAGATGCCTTCGGCTATAGAGCAGTAGCCGAGGGCTCCTCCAACCGATGGCACCCTGGTGCCGAGGGCTCACAGTGCCGAGGGCTGCTGTTTTCGCCGTTTTCTCCCAGTTTCTTAAATTGCTCGAGAAAGCCGTTCTGTGAGAGTTTAGAGCCTTCGGCCAGGGGGCCGAAGGCACCCCTGGCGCGTGGTGCGGGCTGCTTGGTACTCTGGGCGCTGTGATTTGGGCCTGTTGGGCCTTCGCTGGAGTAGTAGGAGTCTGTGGGCCGGGGGTTCCCGGGCCATATACTCCATCATAAGTATTGCAAGCTCCACAAGAGTGATACCCATCAAACTGATGATTGTTACCTTCTGAATAAGTATGTGGAAAGGCTCATACGAGAGGGGCAACTGAACCAATTTGTGAAGAAAATCCAGCAGGGACAGCACCCTCTGAGGAAGAATACCTGGAACAAGGGGAAGGACGAGCCAGCCTCAACCTCTAAAAAGAGGGAGGTCGGAGCCCAGTTCGAGGATGACGACGAAGGAGAGGATTCAGGTCGGCAGAAGCGCCCACACGTCAACCAAATCTATGGCGGACCTGTAGGAGGTGACACTGTGGGAGAAAGAAAGAAGTTGAATCGCCAATTATTTATTGGGGAGATTAACCGCCTTCCTGTAGACAAGAAATATAAGCGGGAATCCATCACTTTCACAGATGACAAACTCCCCCCATGTCCCCCACCTCACAGGGATGCGTTGGTGATAAAAATAGAAATCATGGATGCAATCGTTCACAGAGTTCTTGTGGACAACGAAAGCTCGGTCAACATACTATACATGTATGCTTTCTTAGAGACCGGGCTCCAGAAGGGAGCTCTCAAATCGGTAAACTCCCTCTCTCAGGCTTTACAGGGGATACGATTGAGCCGGAAGGGGCGATCACTCTCAAGATCCAACTCGGATCAGAACCATGTGTCCGGGAGATCGAAATGGGCTTTGTTGTTGTTCAACTGCCCAGTGTTCACAAGGTCATCCTGGGCTGACCTCTGTTGGAGAATCTGAGAGTCATTATCTCCCAGGTTCATCTATGCATGAAGTTCTATACACCGGATGGAATAGGCACGGTGAAGGGAGACCAGAAGATGACCGGGAGTTGTTACGTGAGAGCCTGCAAGGCTCACGGAGGAAATGATATAAGGGTCAATGCCATTGAGCAAGACTTATCCATGTATGAGGAAGGGAAGTTCAGAGCTCAGCCCGTCTCAGAGCTCGAGGAGGTCGAAGTTGATCCCTCTCGGCCAGAACGTCGGGTTAAGATTGGTGCAGGACTCCCGACCGACCTGAGAGCAAGGATAGTCCAGGTTCTGACAGAGTTCAAGGTGATTTTTGCTTGGGGGTCTGAAGATATGCCTGGGTCAATCCAAGCATAGCGGTGCACCGGTTGAACGTGGACCCAAAGGCAACGCCCGTCAAGCAAAAGAGAAGATACTTGTCTTTGCACATGAAGGAATTTGTCAAGGGGGAAGTGAATATGCTGTTGGGAATCAAACACATCATGGAGGTACAATATCCGGCTTGGCTCGCCAATGTAGTCTTGGCTCCTAAAACACCTACCTGGAGAATGTGTGTAGACTACACGGACCCGAACAAGGCTTGTCCCAAGGATCCTATCCCCTTGCCCAGCATAGATGAGCTTGTGGATTAGACCGCTGGATGCGAGTTCCTTTCCTTTATGGACGCATTCCAAGGATACCACAAGATCTCCATGCACCCTGATGATGCCGAGAAGACCTCATTTATTACGCCAGAAGGAGTTTTTTGAATTCAGCTCAATGATTTGAATTCGTCATATCTCAAAGTGATTTTAATTATAATTCCTTTAAAAACTCTTTTCTTCCAATTTTATTACTCTCAAATACAAAGAAAGGCGTCCCCACTCTCCCCTCCCTTTCCCTCTAAAAAACTGCGTCCAAAGTCTTCCACTTCCCTTTCCTCCAAACTCTCAAACATAGCTAAGGCGTGTGAGTGCCAGAATTGGGCTCGGTCTCGGCCTAATAGGGCCAGACATGTTAGGCTTAAACAATCACAAATGCTTTTGAGTAGCCCAAACTCATTTTTCTCCCTCTAAAATTATAGAAGATCTGCTAGCTAAAATCCTCTCCTTCCCTCCATGATACGAAATTCAAATCTTCCTCCACCAGGAAACTGAGAAATGAAGGACAACCATCTTCAAACTCCACAGAAGGATCTCCCCCTCGCCAACCGCAAATCGAAATCCAGTTCCGATCACTCTAAGAAGGCTCTGAAAGTATGTATCATTCTCGACCGTCTCCTCATCGGCATATTTACAAACACGTTCGTATACATGACGCGCATGTTCATAACTTGATCGATTTTGTATATATATTGCAGAATGCCAAGAAAAACTTAAGTTCTGAGTTCGAAGCGCTTGTGGAAGTTACTGCATTTCCAGAATCGCCAAATGACTCCGTTGATCAGGCTTCTGTTTCAGAGGTTGTGGACGATTTTAAGTATACTGAAGCAGAGGTAGTTTCGAAATTCAATTCTCTGTTTCTAGTTTAGATGTGTACCTGCTGCGGTGTCTAGGGGTTATAGTAAACTTTTGTTCAAGTATATATTGGTGCAGAATGTTACAACTGCTTTATTGCATTTAGTATTCTTAGAAATATACTGTGTAGTACACTAGTATGTATGGTTGTTTCTGCAGGTCTGTTATAGTTAATATACATATAGTCTCAAGACTATTTCAATTTTACTTCTTTACTTTCCTCTCCTCATTTCATCACAGTTTGTGATGGTGTACTGATGTACTGTGTTGCTTTGTGATACATTTCAGTAACAGACTTGAGCTAATGATTATCTCAGGTCTGCAATTAAGCAAAATTAGCTAAATGTATTTGGACCTCCAAATATATTTCAGCACTTTTCAATCTCAAGAAAATTAAATATCATTAGCTAAATATTGTTCAGCACCTTTGCTCAAAGAGCTAATTGGGGTTTGCTATCGATTCTTTTCCAGAGTTTTGTCTTTCCATTGAACTCAGAAGCTTCCACTTCATCTGAGAACAGTTTCCTCTCTGACCTTACCTCAGTATCATCTGGAATTGCTTCTGAAGTGTACACAACAAGCAGTCCCTCAAAGTACCTGTTCACGAATGCTGAAGAAAAGACTTGTGTTGAGACAGAAATAGCAATTAAGCATCTACGACAGGCACGAATTGAGGTCATGAATTCCCTTGATGTTGATCTGCAGTCTAAGCAACTTATGGATGCTATAATTGATATTGCACTGCGACAATTCTGTGGTTCGGCTGTAGATAAAATATGCTCTCAGTCCCTTATTCTGAAGGTACGTTTACTAACATCACTGGTGCTCGTCATTGTCATTCTAGCTGTTCTCCTTATCTCAGTGCACAGTTCAAGTGGAGCACAACACTTCCTTGGTGCCCTGCCTACCTGAGTTGTGCACACTTTACAAGATTGGTACAACAGTAATGTAAGAATTGCCTCTCTTTCCAAGCATTATGGAATATTTTGGTGCTTCTGAATGCTGCTCGAATTTGAAGTTATCTACAAATATTGTGACACCAGTTTCTTCTACGGAGTATATCTTTTTCTGAAAGTGTTGTGCTCATATGTGGTGCTTGTAGCCGCTGGACTTTCTTAATAAGCTTGGGTAATTGTTTTTTAGTCAAAGATTTATACAAGAAACACTGCCATTTCACTAATGTGTTTTTCTTTTACAAAACTAGATTCTCAAACACTCTATTTCTAGTAGATGCAACTAGACGGATATGTACGAATAGTTGAACTTTATCCATACGACCACACACGTTTTAGAAACAAACTCAACTGCTCAAGACAAGGCGGGAATGTAGACGCTTCTAATACAAATTGCTTCCAAATATATGTGTGTATTACTAGCCATGCTAAATAAATCATGCATTTTGAATTTATAATGCCACATTGTTTTGTTAACTAGCCATTCGTATAAAAGGTTATGATTATTTGAGAAGTTGTATATTTATGGTGGTTTTATTAATAGGAACCGAAACAGTTAAACATGCTCATTGACAGCCTAAACATGCATGTTTTCACTTGGAATCATTTCAGCTTCAGAATAAACCAGACTTGATAAGAATAGATATAAATAGAGCATACAAGACAGAGTTAGATAATAAGTAGGAAAATATACATAAAACCAGTTGAGATCAGATATTTTACTTGTAAAAACATCCTAAGTTTACAAACAGGTGCTTTTACTTGTATCTCAGATGGCATGTCATTAGCTTATGTCATGTTAGCACCATTTTGTAGCTAAGTATGCTTTCAGTTGGATTGGAATATTTCACTCTGATCTCGTAAGGTCTGGCATCTCAAAACAGGACACAGCTAATCTTATTAAAATGATAAAAATGATAAAAACAATAAAATGTTTCAAAAGGGGAGTGAATGTATCATATTTTAGGGAGAAAAAGATGGCACTCATATTTTAGGAATTGTGTTATTATTAAAGTCCCACACCGGATATCTTTGAAATAATTAAATACTATATTAAGATCTGGGCTATTCCTCTCTCAGGTTGACCTTTTAGAATGGAACCCCGGGTTTTAACATGGTATTAGAGCCAAATCAATTCATGATGTGGGCTCCCTATAAACACAATTTTTTTAAAAAATGACAATGATGAACCAATGAAAAAAATGAATGACAGCACGATACAGACGTAGTATTTGGCTATGAGGAGGGGTGTTAAAGTCCCACACCGGATATCTCTGAAAGAATTAAACACTATATTAAGATCCGGACTCCTCCTCGTATCAGGTTATGTCTCTCATATTTTTGTAATTTGCTCTTCATTTTTCCTAACGCAAATAATTGCCATCATTACAAATTTCCACACCAAAGTTTCTATACTTGCCAGGTTTGGACGTCAAAGCGTTCATTTTTCCTAAAACAAATAATTGCGATCTTTAAAGTTTCCACACAAAATTTTAAAACGTTGCAAATTTGGGATATTTAAGTGTTGATTTTTCCTATGACTCCAAAATAATTGTCTTTAATCACTTGGAACGTGAAATGTGTCCATCTTGATATCACTTAAGTTTTCTTCCTGTAGAATTTAAAGATGAGTAAAGCAAAATTGTTGTATTGTAATGATGTATTTATATGCTTGCTTGCCTGTTTTGTTGACCTATGCTGCTGATATTTTGGAGCCCCTAGGATTTAGCTAGAAAGCAAATTGCAGCATATAATGGGTCGTCTGATCTTAAATTAGTCTATTATTACGGCCACATCATATTTGCACCCAATAGGAATAAAATTAGCTGAAAATGTGAAATACACATGGTTTTGGTATGACTTTTGATTAGGCCCAATGATTATTGGAAACCTTTCTCTAATGCACCAAAATCTAATCATGTAGTTTTGGCATATTCTATTCTTCGTTGCTGGCCAAAGGACATCCTTCTCTTTTACTTCTTCACTAACCACCATCTTAAGGAGCACCCATAATATTATTCTTATGTAATAAAGTGTGCTTGTATTACCAGCATAATATATACGGACGGCTAATCCTTATGCTTAAAGTCTAAAGTAGACTTGGAATTATGTAATGAATACAGTTGTACGGGTTATTGTCCATAGTTTACTGCTTTGTGACACTAATTTCCTACATCCAGTCTGTCTTACTTTTGTCTTAAAAAAACAACGCTCTAGTATTATTATGTGCAAATGTATATTATTCATTCGTATTTTTATACTCCCTCCGTTTCTGAAACAAGTTCCATCTTTCTTTTTCGGGCAGATTCAAAATTAAGTTCCACTTTCAAACATTTCCTTAATCCTTATTATCTACATCAAAACAGTGTCAAATAGTGTCAAACAGTGCCAAACAGTGTTCAAACAGTGCTAAACAGTGCACTCCACAGTAAAGTCAAATTTATTTTCTTAATATGTGTGAAGTCAAATGTGGAACTTGTTTAGGAATATGAGGGAGTACTTATTTTCTTAATTTAACATACTATATACGGAGTATGTCAAATTGTCAATGATGTCAGTATCGACGTCGGTACACTTACACATTTTCAGACGTTTTTGGGTGATGTAATTATTTATATAAAATTAGTCAAACGGTCAAACCTATTATGTGTCATACACCAAGTTGCTAATTAGAAATTCAATTCTTAACACTTAAAAAACTAAAACGCACTATTACTTCAAATAGGACTAAAACTATGTCAAAAATTCAAAATAGGACTTACTTGTTTTTCTTTTCAAAATAGGACCAAATTAGTCCTATTGGAAACATACCCATTTTTTCATTCCATTCTCACCCTTCCTTTAAATATGAGTTAAATAAATGTTTAATTCATAATAAATTCGAAATAAATTCAAAATAAATATGAGTTATAAAATATTTATACAATAAAAAATTAAAAAAAAAAATTTTTAATTTTTTTTAAAATTAATAAAAAATAGTAAAACTCCATAAAAAAATTAAAAAAATATGGACGCCTTTCCCACCGTCTGTACTACCTCCCTGCACAACCATCTCCGGGCGGTGAAAAAATATCATTTTCCCTAAAAACTGCTATTTTTTTTCTGAAAATGCCAAAAACATGGCATATTTCTCTTTGAGAATGCCAACATTTTCATTGTTTTCTGCCATAAATATGGCATTCGTAATGAACTTGACATTTTTTTCCCTGGTGACTGGAGGTGGTGGTGCAGAGGCGACAGTGAATTTTATTTTATTTTTTTGAGTTTATTTATTTATTTTTTAATTTTTTTTTGAAAATAATTAAATAAATTAATTAATATTATCGAAATATTTTTATTAATTTTTTAGTACTTTTTACGAATTTTTTATTATTTTTTGTTATTTTATTATGAATTAAAACATTTCAATATCTATAAAGGTATATTTGTCCAAGACACACATAATTAGTATCATGAAAACATAGTTTATTTTTTTGTTCTATTTGTGCAAAGTGAGTGACTTTTAGTCCTATTTTGATAATTAACCCAAACTAAAAAGATCACAAAATATAATATGTTTGTCCTTCAATTCCCCTACAAAATACTTCATTTCTTCGATAGAATAAGCTTCGGCTTTCTCACTATTTGATAAATCTCATCAATAGTGTTAAGGGCTACAAGTTTTTGACATCAACTTTATGTAGGGTGTTGTAAATTTGTAATTTGTAAAGCATAAAATAGGAGGGGGAAATTTTCAATTCGGGTATCGCCGAAGTTACCTAGGACCGGTTTTTTGCACTATGATGGTTATTGGCTTTTAAGTCAATGGTTTGGGTTGATTATTTTAATAAGGATAATAGTACCCTCCAGTATATTTAAAAAATAAAAATAGGAGTTGAACAACGTATATATGCGTAGGAGTCAAAAGTAATTGAATTTGCAATATACCACCCTTGACGATAGTTTAATTTAAGAATTTAACACTTTTTACAGTGATACTTCTTTGGGAGAAGTCCTAAAATAGTAGTAGTAAAATTCATCCATTTTCAAAAATATATTTTTTCATAAATAGGGCTTTTTTTATGATTGGACAAAAGTATTCTTATAGAGTTGGCCGCTGGGAGAACAATTTTCCCGAATTAGTATGACAATCTGCCAGATTTCCGTCGCTATCACTGGGATTTGTTACCGCCACCAATTGACTAATCTAGCAAGGGAACTAGGAATGGACAATTAATTAGATTAATTATTTAATTAATTAAACTGGTAGATATAAAATGATTAGTCATGTTTAAGGAATTCAAACATAAGTTTTTTCTTTAAAAAAATGCTATGTTTTGATTCTACTGAACTATTTTCTCTGCTTTTTTTCACGTAGTACTAATACTTTTTTTTTCTTTTTCAGATTTGGAAGTTAGGGCACTTGGCCCTCATGCCCCTAGGTCCTCCTACATGCAAACCAATCGAAAACACTCGCTAAAAACTGGCCGAATTATATACGGAGTACTAAAAAATCGACTAAACTGATCAAATAAAAGCAACTGAAACACGACAAAACATACCAAATTAAAATCGAAACGAAATGCACAAAAATAAGCTAATCTAGACTCACCTAATGAAACATGAGAGATAACAACATAAATATTATTCATTAGTTATCAATTCCAATTCCATTGTACTCTATTTTATACCGATTATTTAAAGTTTTTGCATGCCAATGACCCATTGGCAATGGGGAACACGTGCAATAAGAATTAATTCTCGTATTTAATTGAATATTTGTACAAATTTGACATGCACTTTTACATAATTGTACACTACCTGGTTGTATGTGCACACGGATTACTCGTGCAACAATTGTATACACACAGATAATTATGTACACATGTGTGCCAAATGCGTATAAACATTGG